ACCTGAGTGAGTCAGGTGACCTAAAAAAGGGAACTGTCACTTAACTACATCAAAACTTGATTGGTTACTGGATTAAATTTACCAGATTCTATAATTTTCAAAGTGAATTATAATTCATTGGAAAAGTTTAAAAAAAGGTTTTTTAAAATTTCAATAGTCAGATCTTACCCTTGGAGTATTCCTTACAAAATAAGGAATAAGCAGTTGGTCTTACTGCTGGGAGTGTCTTCCTTTGAACCAATTTACCATGTCCACTTTTGGATTTGTGGTAATTTCCCAACCAATTCTGAAATAAAGTATATATATATATATATATATATATATATATATATATATATATATATATATATATATATGAAAAAATAAAACACCACAATCAAGCATTTAATATTAATATTATTAATACGTACTTCTGTTATTGTAAAAATATGGATTAACCTAGAGCTTTTGATCAAACTGAGGCAAATACATGGTACATGTACCAAGGTTTATTTATCTAAAAACAAATTTAAAGCATAAATGGATAAGGGAACTACCTTTACTTGAAGTTCTGTTAAATTTAATTTTGCTGCCAGTTCCTGGTGAGCACCTAACCAGGCCTTTCCTTTCCTTGTGCCCTGTCCATAGGCCTCCTCCAGCATCCTCACTTGTTCTGGCGTAAATTCTGTTCTCTTTTGCTAAAACATTGAATGTTCGAACAAAACTAAATTTTCACTATACTCAGTTTTACAACAGAATTTGAGATAAAAATTGATCTTTCTGGGACATTAAATAGTGAGTATTTATCAAAGTGTACATGTAAAGAATTATTTAGATTAATCAACTACATAAATGTACATATACTAAAAAATAAACACCCTCACTTTTGTACCTTTCATCATTGTTACTGTGGATACCCACAGGTACATTAATAATATAAAGAAGTCAATTGATGAGTACACAATACACATGCCATAGGCGTAGGAACTGGTGGGGGGGGGGGGGCTAGGGGGGGCTTACTTTTTTTGCAAAGATATACATAATATAGGCATTGAAAATTGGGGCTTACCTTTTTTCGTTGGTTTAGCCCCCCACTTTCAATTAGCCACCCCACTTTTAATTTGCTTCCGACGCCTATGCATGCATATAAATCTATAAACATGATAATTAAATGCATTCCTATACAGAGTATGGATATCTTTCTCATCATAAAAGGGGGTTTAATTGGTATGTGGTTGAAGAATTTCTGACAGGGGCTAGCAATTTAATTATTCAGGTCAATGGGAAGGAATTCCATGAATTTTCCCACTACAGCCCCCCCTTTTTTTTCAATAGACCTTGGGGGGGGGGGGGGGGTGTCATGCCAAGCTCGCTGACACCCCTATTATTTTGTTGAAAAATGCGATAGAAAACACAACCATTATGTGTCATCTCAATAATTACATCCGAGAACTTTTTTACTTGGCAGTGCCTGGAGTCCAAACTGAAAATATTTGCCCACCCCCTCCCAATCTGAAATTGTTTCTATATATATATTCATTAAAACGGTACCACTTCTTCTAAACAGCTTGTGTATGAGATTACTTTTAGTTTATGTGAATATTCAATATAAAAATGTAAATTTATCATCATATTATTATGTATGTATAAATACTGAGTGTACAAAACTTTTTACAATGATTCTGAAAAATAACCCGCGACCCCCCCCCCCCCCCTTTCCATTTTATTTTATCTACATTTTTCATAAGCAAACTGGTGTTTTACACTTACCTTTTCCATTTTAAGTCTTCAAATCAGTAAAGGATTGACAAAACTATACTAAACTTCCTTGATTACTCTCTTCTTTTGTCTTTGTAAAGCGCACGTGCAATATAAAATGGCGAGTGACGGTGAGGCTGATCATCAACACCCGTCTTTAAATTATCACGTGACAAAATTTTACATCAGTCTGTTAAATATTTTATAATTTGCTAGGCTATTATATAGGCTAAATATGAAATAAATCAAAGTGTACACATGTGATGGTTAACAGCAGGAGCGGGCATCTGGCACTGATAACAAACATGACGGGGGGGGGGGGGGGTCTAATAGGTATGCAGCCGACACTGTATCATATATCATATTTAAAAAAACAACAACAAACAAACACATTTCAAATGTATTACTTAATAAATATATAAATTATCGTACTATTGTAACTTGATTTGTTCTTCTCAATAAAATTAATAAAAAAAAAAAGTTAAGAAAAGAAAAAAAACTTAGGTACTCTATTAGGGGAAGTGCAGTACGTGCTCAGCAAAATCGTTTTCAAAAGTCTCATATCCAGATATATTTGGCCTTCTCATATTTATATATTTATTTATGCATTTTGTTACATTCCTAAAAAAAAAAATCATGAGTATGAATAATACTCGTACGAATTAGTTCTTCCTCTGTTAAGACCAGAGACTTTCCGTATTGCGTCTGGTGTTACTGTTCTGAACGCTAACCCCAATAGTATATGGTATAATGGTAATACCACAGACAGCATTGAGAGCTGTAACCCCGTTAACTTTTTTGTCGGTTCAGAGCTGTAACTCTGTTCGAATCAGGTGCTGTATATCAGCTTAATAGTAAGTAAATTTTCTTATTTGCATTTTGTTAAATTCCATTCTACTTCTCGGATACATATTTTATCTTTAAAAATTATTAATCTAAACGATTATGTCCTTATGTCTGTAAAGGATATTCAGTTGATAATATTTATATTCACAACATTTTAATAATCAACTCTTCAGATCTTAATTGCGACTACGTATACAGTTGTCACTGTCACAAAGGGGGATAAAAAGAATTATTGCATAGAAAGCAGTGAAGGCAGGGAAAGCTGCGAAAGAAAATGTGGATCCGCCGAGTAAATATTAAAATCATTTGTATAAGTGCTCTCTCTCTCTCTCTCTCTCAATTTATAAATATCATTGTAAGGACGCTTTTGAGATCGAATTTTAAATATACCCCCATAGTAAAGCTCAATCATTTAGTGAGACAAACTCATCAGTAAAGAAAGGTATCCGTTTTTTCAAAATGAAAAATCGTTGATTTCATTTGTCAAAAGGATTATTTACTCACCTGAGCAAAAGGCCCAAGTGAGCTTTCTCTGGTCGAAATTTGTCCGTTGTCTGTCGTTATCGCAAAATTTTCACATTCAATCTTGTCCTCCAGAATTACTTCAACAATTTCAACCAAACTTGCCACAAAGCATGCTCGGAAAAAAGGCAATTCAAATTTGTTCAATATTGAAGGGCCACACCCTCTTTCAAGAGGAGATAATTAAGAAATCGTTTTAAAAAATGACGGCTTCTTTTAAAATCCTCTTCTCAAGAACTATTGGGACAGAAAATTCATAACTTAGAGGAACATACTTAATTCCTTTTTATTGCTCAAATTCAAGTTTGTTAAAATCGTGACCCTTGGGGAAGGCTAGGACCACAATATCTAGGGGATCAAAGTTTTACATAGAAATATAATTAAGGGTAAAAACTTAAAAAAATCTTGTAAAGAACAGCAAGCCATGATTATAATGGTACTAGCCCCTAATACGTGTTCTTGATCAGGTCGAAACCACTAGGTTTTCTGACGTCAGCATAAATATGCATGTAAAATTAGCTATCTACTAGTATAGATACGAACTCAGGTGTAAATCAAATCAAAAAATAATTCAGAGAGTAATTTGGCGTGTTTTCTGCGGTTATGGAGGATGGTGACGGAGTTTGGGTAATAGGGGATACAGCAGAACGAATGTCAGACACTTCGGCCCAACGACACCTCGGCCCAACGACATCTCGGCCCATTGACACCTCGGCCCCGACGGGTCGGCCCGAGATTTGAGACACCTCGGCTCACGTAAAAGACACTTCGGCACAAACAAAAATGTATTATTTTAAACATATTTATTTGATATTTTCTTAAGTATTTTATTATTATAGGGACTATATGCGACGGATTATATTATTATATATATCCATGAAATAAAAAAGAAAATAATTGAATAATCTTCCGAGAGTAAGTTGACGGTAATTAAAAAAAAAATTGTCTATCACATTGTGCTAATCGTTAAACAAACAAGAAGACGCAGCGCATCCTTCGAAGTCTCAAGCGTGTGTCATATGGGGTGGTGACAATGAGGAGTTAATTACGAGCAGGCTAATTAATCCAATTGTTGGGTACAAACCACATATCTTCCTTGGTTGGTTTAGGGAAATATATCCATTATGCTCTAATATTACGCAAAGATCTATCAGGTTAACGTAACTTCTATATCTGTGTAAGGTTAAGTTGAGTTTATAAATTAAAAAAAAAAGAATCAATTAAGACATCTTATTGATCAGGACAGAATACCTAAGGACATATGCTACTGTGCACTGGTTTATAAATATAATTATTATATATAGTTAAGTGTACAATACGCCCCTACTACAAAGTGATTTTTAAGTAAAAGAATTCTAAATATTATGAAATGAATAAAGTTGCATTTTCATAAGCAACAAAATAAATAAATAAATAGATCTCCTATCTCCCACTCAATAAATACAGCAGCTGACATCTATGCTGTCGTTCGTTCAAAAATTCTGAAATTATTTGCCCGTTTATCGTATACATATCGTCATTATAAACATACATACATTTATATTACCATAGTGAATACAGATAATTATTCTAAAAAAAAATTCCTTGGGCCGAGGTGTCTTTAGTATGGGCCGAGGTGTCAATAATTTTGGGCCGACCTGTCAGGGCCGAGGTATCAAGCGCGACGGGCCGAGGTGTCGTTGGGCCGAGGTGTCTGTCTACCAGCAGAACCATTTACTCAGGTTAGCGTTATGGCACATGGGCCTCTTTTTCGTTTGTGTACTTCTTTTGAAAGTTACTCCAGTATACTAAATTGATACATGTGAGACACATGTGAGACATGTACGAACAATAGCAGCTTTACATATTTAAACCTGTAGATCCGCCCATGAAGAAAAAGAAGTTCTCGTTAGCCGTCGAGATCCTGGCGAGAGAGGTTGCAATATGGCGGCCAGCTGTTGTGGAGTTAAAAAACAAAAACTAAACAATTCAATGCCTGCCTCTATGTGTTGTAATGGATCCTCAGTTCATCCCAATGGTTACAAACACAACTATTCTGTGGCTAGAATAGAGATGTGTATATTTTGTTTTGACGTTCTCCATAGCCATCTTCACAGTTATGAACCACCCAAAAACCCGTCTTTCACTAATGAAGCCTTGTAAGTAAATTTCATATGTCACTAATCTGAACTCTTTAATTCTTTTATTATATAAGTCGATATTAAAACTTCGATATAATATATGTATTTTATGATGTAGTTTTGGTCAGTGCACATGGTTACCTAAATTACATGTTATACAAAGGAAAGTGAATGTAAACAAAGGATATGAGTCATTGTTATGGAGACTACGACCAGCTGATAGAAATGGGTCAAATGGACTGACCTCCAGAGTGCGAACTGGACAAAGAGAAAATTGTCATTTAGATATATATGTATAAAATTGGAGAAAAAACTTTTGGTATTTGATTTAAAATATTTTTTTATCTTAAATTTAACAATTTCACTGAATTTGAGAATCTTAAAACAGGAAGGGAGAAAATGTCAATAGATTAGTGCTGTATCAACTTTGTTGTCTGGCCACTGGTTAAGGAACTTTCCACACGTAGGAATGACCATCCTCTATCCTATTCAGTTTTTGGTTTCTTAGGTTCAGTGACCCAGTAAATTAAATGGCTTGTTGCATCCTTCACAATCATAGACATTCTGTGGGGTGTTTATATTTTTCATAATTTAAGTCTTTTACTGATTAAGAGCATCCCCCCCAAAAAAGGGGGGGTATAAAAAATTAATCAGTAAGTGGGCAACTCTAATATATTTTTAAGTTTATATACCCACACATAGATTTATTTTATTATCTAGATAGTCCACATATATACAGTCATTAGATCTTCTACTTTGGTCTTAAAGGACAGACCAGGAAATTGATTTTATTTGGTATTAATAAATAATTTAAGATAACTGGCAATCCTAATAAACTTCTGAAAGCAATGATCCAAGTTCCTGTTATATTTGATAGCAAAGTCCAAACTTAGGTTTGAGCAAAGTGAGCAAAATACTGGAATGTATTGGCTAAGAAGGAGAGAAGATTGTTGTAAATTTAATTTTAAATTAAGGGTTTTTCCTCCTTTCAAATTACAAATTACAACAATAGTTTAAAGCTAAAGTTTGTTATCATGGTTCAGTCAGTGCAGAATAATAAGTTGAACAGCAAATTGCAATAACCTAGCAGGGTGAAGAAATTTTTGTCATACAGTTCTACCAACATGAAAAGTTCAAGGATAATGTGATTTAACACCATTTCATAATATAATTTTTGATATGATTTCCAAAAAATTTCCAGCAGTAACAATATATTTTCCAAAATTTTGATAATGAAATATTAGCTTGAAATGTGCAATTCAGAGTCTTTATTTAAATCCAGATGTTTTGAGAAATTAAATTACAATAGTAGGTGGGTATATATGTATACAAGTACATGTATAACCATAATTCTGATTCAGAAGATTATGGTTTTCTATATATTCAAATATGGTCATTACACATATCAACCCAACTGAAGCTGTTTTAAAGATTTAACACATTTGAAAAGGAAGAGGTCTTTGTTTTGCTTTTATTTGAACAAAAATGTAAATATTTTTTTATTTAAGTAAAAAATATCTTGAATTTATATAATTTACAATTCAATAAGAATTACAAGAATTCTGGTTTCTCAGCATTAATGGTCATTTGAATACATTTATTTCATTATTTTGGCTGAACCACAAAAATGCTTCACAAAACTCTCACTGGTGCAGAAAAAAATTGGGATGAATCTCTGGTTGTCCTTCCATTTTATTTTTTCTTTTAGATTAGGGGGCTACAGAACTGTAGCTAGTGCAAAATTGTTCATTGCAAGATTGTGATATTTTCCAATATTTGTGGCTATGCCTTTGCACTACAGCTGTGTTTTCTTTTGGTAGTCCTCTGTTTGTCACCTGGAAGATCGGTCATAGCCGTCGTCTGCGAGGTTGCATTGGAACCTTCACCTCTATTAGTCTTCACAGCGGCCTCAGGGAATATGCAGTCACCAGGTATCAGATATCATACTTAATTAATATAGGTAATCATACTTATAGGTAATCATACTTATTAATGTAGGCAATCACTTGTTTATGTTGATAAGCATAGCAACAGGAGCATCACAGCTGTCAATCATAATAAGAATCATTGGAAATGCCTATATATTTTGAGACTACCAAGTGGTATTTACAAGTGGATTTTTTCATGAATATCATGCTTTACTAAATGTGTTTAGCTGAAGAAAAAAACAAATTAATTAATAGTCTGGTAGGAATCATTTTCTTTTTATATATTTAATATGAGAGAAGGTGTTCTAATTTCGAATTTTTAAAAAAAAAAAAAAAAAAAAAAAAAAACACTGTTTAAGTAGAGAAAAAAAATAATTTATTTTCCAAACATATCAAACATTATCAACAACAAGAATGACTTACAATCCCTAGTATTAAATTTTTATTAATTTTTTTAATGATTTTTTATTGTATTATGAGTTGACAAATGGTGTGAACAAGTTTTGCTGTTATTTCAGTGCTATTAAAGATAGCCGGTTTAGTCCCATCGCCAAGGAAGAATTTAGCAAGCTTCATGTTTCCGTGTCCATCCTGACCAACTTTGAGGATGCCCGTGATTACCTGGATTGGGAGGTAAGGACACATTATATCAGATGTCTTCAGGATGTCCATGATTACCTGGATGTCCTGATTACCTGGATTGAGAGGTAAGGACAGATTATATCAGATGTCTTTGGAATGTCATGATTACCTGGATTGGGAGGTAAGGACAGATTGTATCAGATATCTACAGGATGTCCATGATTACCTGGATGTCGTGATTACCTGGATAGTGAGGTAAGGACAGATTGTATCAGATATCTACAGGATGTCCATGATTACCTGGATGTCGTGATTACCTGGATAGTGAGGTAAGGACAGATTATATCAGATGTCTACAGGATGTCCATGATTACCTGGATGTCGTGATTACCTGGATTGGGAGGTAAGGACAGAGTATATCAGATGTCTACAGGATGTCCATGATTACCTGGATTGGGAGGTAAGGACAGATTATATCAGATGCCTTCAGGATGTCCATGATTACCTGGATGTCATGGTTACTTGGATTGGGAGGTAAGGACAGATTATATCAGATGTCTTCAGGATGTCCATGATTACCTGGATGTCATGATTATCTGGATTGGGAGGTAAGGACAGATTATATCAGATGTCTACAGGATGTCCATGATTACCTGGATGTCGTGATTACCTGGATTGGGAGGTAAGGACAGAGTATATCAGATGTCTACAGGATGTCCATGATTACCTGGATTGGGAGGTAAGGACAGATTATATCAGATGCCTTCAGGATGTCCATGATTACCTGGATGTCATGGTTACTTGGATTGGGAGGTAAGGACAGATTATATCAGATGTCTTCAGGATGTCCATGATTACCTGGATGTCATGATTATCTGGATTGGGAGGTAAGGACAGATTATATCAGATATCTACAGGATGTCCATGATTACCTGGATGTCGTGATTACCTGGATTGGGAGGTAAGGACAGATTTTATCAGATGTCTATAGGATGCCTGTGATTAACTGGATAGGGAGGTAAGGACAGATTATATCACATGAACTGTGTTAGCTCAAAAAGAAAGTTGTATCAATGACCTCTCTTTGCGCAGTTTAGCAGCCCAGCTTACGAATAAAAAAAAATGTGTCATTGTTGTCTTTATGAAGTCAGTTGACTGTCAGAAAACCCAGTTATACTACATCTTTTGAGACAAAGTACTTCAATTAAACTTTTCTTCCTTAAATATAAAGTTTAATCTCTATGATCAAATATACTATGTTAGATTTTTGTCCTCTTCAGTAAATTTACCTTTTAAAGTTTCTATGGCTTTCTATTATTTTTTGAATATTCAGAAAGTGGTAAAAGAGAGGGACTAAGAATATTAGAGATGCCAAAGCAAACAGCCGATGTTCCTCAGAACTTAGTACATTATTATTGTCGGTCTTTAATGTCTATTTGCATTCTTCCATTGGCAGTGGTTCCTGAGAAGGGAGTGTGTACTTTAGACAATTGTCTTTCACTCTTTGTCTTTTTGATTATTAAGTGCTCTATTACGTAAACTTATATACATATATCTAAATCTTTTTGTTGTCCATTCGACTTCATTTAGTTATAACTTTCTGGCAGATTCACACAATTTTCTCTCATTTTTTCAGGTGGGAGTCCATGGAATCAGGATAGAATTCCTCAATGAGAAAGGCCACAAGAAAACAGCTACTTACCTGCCTGAGGTTGCCATAGAGCAAGGTACATTTACTTTCAATACATTCAACTTGGTTTGTGGTGAAAATCTTCATACCTGTTAAAATTTTATTACATCTATTTCACACACATTTTGAAATCTTGAAGGGAAAAATTTGTTCAAAACTGAAAATCAGATTAATTAGTAAATAATAATAAGTTTTTTTCAACTTTACTGTCTTTACATAGTACATGTACTTAATAAGGACACTTTATCCTAATATTACCGGAAAGGCATTTCATCCTGAATTTGTTGCTGTAATAAAAATATATATTTCACAATTTATTTCATTAATTTAATCATCCATTTCTTAAAGAGTAAAACATTGGTAGTTATATTTTTGACACTGTACCAGTGTTCTTTATGGTTCAGATGCATTTCCAGTGATCTAAATACTCTGCGCACTAACAAGGTCTAGCTGATTTGATGGTACATGTATTTTTATGCAGTTAGAGTGATCTGCCGTTAGATCTAAATTTAAATAAATTGAAATCTACAGTAAATTTAATTACTTGATGTAGAATCATTTCAAGAATTTTAAATATTTTATAAGGCCAATTAAGATAAATTATTTGAACACTATATATGTATGTAATTTCCACATTTAAGTAAGCAAGAGTGAAGTGATTTCTTTTGTCTTGAAAAAAATTTTTTTGGGGGGGGGGAGGGTCTGGTACCCTTTGTTGAAAATCAGATAGATAATATCTATACCTTTATATGAAACAACTATCAATGTCAAAAAACATTTTTCATTAGTGTGAAGAGGGTCCTTATGAAATAGTTGAATTATTAAAGGGCACCAAGTCTTTGATTGAAATTGTCATGATTATTTCTGCAATATCATTACAACAAGGTAGGTAAATTTCATTTATTTAATGTAAGACATATGTGGCATGTTTCTGCTAGGTATAAGGGAAACTGCCCAACCACATATGCAGTAGAGCTATCTATTTTGACATTAACTTATTTTAATCTGTTATTAATTTTGTTAAAATCCTTCAATTTGCAATCATTAAAATGGAATAGAAATAGAAATGGCCACTATTTCAGCATTTATGTTTATCAAGCACATCTTGTATACATGGATTAAAAAAACTTTAGCACTGGATGCAAAGAAAGAACGAAGTATTTTCAAAAGTCACCGGACACTAATGCCAAGGTTAAGAGGATGAGATGTGACACAGGGATATCCCTATAAACTCCTCTTCAGCATTGGTCACTGATGTTTTTGTCCATGCTCTGGTCTTTTGCTTCCCTTGGTCATGATGACTGCCTGCTTCACAACATCTGTACATCTACCAAATGAATGGCCACGATAATAGTTCAGCTGCAGTGTTAATCTGCAGGGATCAAAGCATGATGCATTGAATTCCTGTTTGGAGTACCATTGATATAAAACATCTTTTTGTTTGTAATACAATTAATTTTGGTATCTCAAACAAAGGTATTTCGAATACCATGGATATGTCAAAGTTGGAAGACACAACCACATTTTTTTTCCCCAACAATGGCCAACATTTTTTATGCCCCGCCATGAATATGGCCGGGGCATATAGTGTTTGTCATGTCCGTCTTCCGTCCTTCCGTCCTTCCGTCCTTCTGTCCTTCCGTCTGTCCTTCCGTCACACTTTGCGTTTAGCTCTGTTCAAAGCTCAGTTTCAAAGAAACTATCCAAGATATTTTTATCAAACTTCATATGCTGATAGATATTGATGAGGGCTATGCAACTGCATCAACATTTTTTGACCTTGACCTTTCCTTTGACCTTGACCTCACTTTTCTTAAATTAGTGTTTAGGTTAGTTTTAAAGATACCATTCAAGATAGTGTAATGAAACTTCATATGTTGATACCTACTGACATAAGCTATTCAACTGCATCAACATTTTTTGACCTTGACCTTTCTTTTGACCTTGACCTCACTTTTCTTAAATTAGTGTTTAGCTCAGTTTTAAAGATATCATTCAAGAAAGTGTAATCAAACTTCATATGTTGATACATACTGATGTAAGCTATTCAACTGCATCAATTTTTTTTGACCTTGACCTTACTTTTGACCTTGACCTCACTTTTCTTAAATTGGTGTTTAGCTCAGTTTTAAAGATACCATTCAAGATAGTGTAATCAAACTTCATATGTTGATACATACTGATGTATGCTATTCAATTGCATCAACATTTTTTTGACCTTGACCTTTCTTTTGACCTTGACCTCACTTTCCTTAAATTAGTGTTAAGCTCAGTTTTAATGAAACCATTCAAGATATTTTTAACAAACTTCATATCCTGATACATACTGATGTAACCTTTTCAACTGCATCAACATTTTTTGACCTTGACCTTTCCTCTGACCTTGACCTCACTTTTCTTAAATTAGTGTCAAACTTCATATGCTGATACATACCGATAAGAGCTATTCAACTGCATCAATATATTTTGACCTTGACCTTTTCTTTGACCTTGACCTCACTTTTCTTAAATTAGTGTTTAGCTCATTTTTAAAGAAACCATTCGTAATATTTTCATCAAACTTCATATGCTTATACATACTGATGTAACCTTTTCAACTGCATCAACATTTTTTGACCTTGACCTTTTCTCTGACCTTGACCTCACTTTTCTTAAATTAGTGTCAAACTTCATATGCTGATACATACCGATGAGAGCTATTCAACTGCATCAATGTTTTTTGACCTTTACCTTTCCTTTGACCTTGACCTCACTTTTCTCAATTTGTGTTAAAATGTTGCATTACTAATATACCCTCGGCGGGGCATTCATGTCCTATGGACATATTTCTAGTTTTACCATACATTCACTAGCATCAGTTGAAAGGCTGTTCCATATGCCATAAATCACTAAAAAGCCTCATCTGACTTCATGTAAAATAGCAAATTGGTATCATATAGAGCAGTGGGGTTTTCTTTCTTTTTCCGTTTCTTGCAAACTGTTGCAATACAGGTAAATCTTCAATAAATGCATGTAAAAGCATAGATTGTACTGTATAATGGTTGCATTTCATTTCTGACTTTTTTTTCCAGATGTTTTACTTTTCAAATCTGTCATTTATTACATACGGTATTATCATTTAGAGAATTCTTGCTCCATTCTTTAGAATATTAGAAAAATATTTTAAAGAATGGAGCATAGCCAGTACATGTAATTTGGAATTGAATGAGGTAACAAAATTGCCAAAAAAGTACTACTGTAAATAGTGTCAGATATTTAAAGAAATAAATGAAGAAAATGAAAGTAATGAATGAAAGAAATACTGAGCATAATGTAGATATGAAATACAGCAATATTAACAGTGAAAACAAGAATGCAAATATTAACTTGGATGACAACATGTTTTGTAATTGTTATATCTCATAGCACTCTAGGTTAGTTGGAGTAAGATTTTTTTCACTTATATCTTGAACTCAATTGTTGTAAGCAATATTACTGCTAATTAAGTTATATTATTTCTAAAGAAAGAGATGAAAAAGGAAAATTTGTTATGGACTTAGATTTATCTCATGGTAAACTAAATCTTTTGGCTTCAAGTCTCGGTGTTTATTTACCAGTACTTGTATATGCATGGATATAAAATACGAGTGACACTGTTTTAAAGAGCAAGGTTCACTTAAAGCATATTTTGGCCCTGTGAATTTCTCAAAAATCAAAAATGCTTATCGTTTTAGTTGGCAATGCATTAAATATCACTTGTTGGCAATGCATTAAATATCACTTGGACCCTTGGTGACCGCATATCTACTAAAAATGAAGTAATTTTCTTGCTAGTCAATACATTATGACATCATGAATTGTGTCATTATTTCCATATCCTCTATATTTCTTCCAAAATGGCCAGAAGATGAAGCTGTTTTTCAGTATTCCATATACAGCACAACCTCTGATCCAAAATGTGTGATTATAAAATGAAAGAACTACTTCTGAAGATTATGAAACATATTTTAGTTTTTCGATTGAGGGGTGTGCTCATGCATAGTTTAATTCTTTGCTGAAGGTACTCAAATACACCTGTTTTCTGCGAAGTTCAAGAACATTGCAATTTCACACAGCCTGTTTTCCAATACCTGGACTCTTACAGTAAACTTTTTTATACGAAAAGAAAGCATTAAGTCTCTACTTTATATTGATGTTGAAAATGGGACAGAAGATATTAGTCAATAAATTGGTAAACCGTTAGGGCCATTTTAAGTATAAAGTGAACCTAGCTCTTTTGGGAATCAAGATTGAAAATATCAGTAACATTGAATTAAGTAATAACCAATACATGTACTAATATATACTTGTTTTCTTTCACAAATACTTTCAGGATGGGATATTCTACAGACAATTGATTCTCTTCTAAGGAAAGGTGGATATAAGGGACCAATAGACCATGAAGTGAGAAAATCACTTAAACTAACTCGTTATCGCAGTGAAAAATTGACATTAGGATATAACGACTATGTGGCCAATAAGCAGAATGGTCATGCATGATGCCGGTGAATTTTAGGATTCGGGCAGCACCACACCTTGATCATTGCAGTATAAAAGAAGAACAATAGCAGCATGAAAACAGCGTATTATAGAAGCATAAATGTATATGTCAGCATATGGTAAAAAGAAGATAAATAGATTCTTTGGTATGATTGGATAGAATTCTTATGTGTACTGGTTGTCTTTCTTTTGTTATAAATTGTAGTGATTTTACCCAGGGTTTGAAATGAGTATATTTCCTAATTAACATATAGAAAGTTTTCTCACCATGAATTTTAATATCACACAGATGTTGTGAAGTAATACTGTACGTATTTCTCAATGTCACTGGATTTATCTTGTAGATAATAGCAGATATCTTTTGATAGGGGTAGAGAATTGCCTATATATATGTATTTTTTTAGTAGTGAGTTTCATACTTGGATAGTTTTTTTCTTTATCATGTTACACCCTTCTTGAAGAACTTCCCCTAGCAGTGTTTGCATGCCTAGATAATTGAACAAGTGAATGGGTACCCATCAATAAGTCGGAGATGAAATCTTGTGAATATTTCTTTCTCAGTCCTTTCTGTAAACATTTTAAACAGAAGGATTGTAGTCCTCTCTACTTCTTTTATTTTAATTATTTTAGTTGTAGATCCTGAATCAATAGAAACTTTGAGTATCAGGAGTTGAGGCAGATTCATCAAAATTTCTGCTTGAAAACTCTGAACTAGAAAATTGACTTAAAATTGAAGGCAATTTTAGTGGTTTTTAAAAGGCAACATTTTAATGCTATATCCTGCTCAAAATCCTACTTCCACCTCCTCGTGGTGAGCAGGGGGCAACAGATTTATGATCTGGACAACGGAAGAGGTCACCCTTGGATGAATGTCAAATCTGAGGCTAATCATTTCTTTTAATATTAAATATTCAGGTTTATTTTTAATCATTTATTAAAGAAAAGTTGGGTAGAAGTTTGAACATTATTAGGGTGTACATGTACTACTATGGAGTGAGAAAAGAAATTATTGTTTCAGTTTAAAGGCTCTTTCATTATTAAATACATGATCTGAAATACACACACAAAAAATATTGTTTTAAATAAGTTCTTCTTAAAAAAAATGGATATGTATATATAAAGGATTTTTTTTTCATCAACAAAAGGGGGCCCACTATTTTAACTCAACTGAGCCAAAAGCTCAAGTTAGCTTTTCTGATCAAAATTTGTCTGACATTGTCAGCATCCTTGTTGTTGTTGAAACTTTTCACATTTTTATCTTCTTTTCCAGAACCACTGGATCAATTTCAACCAAGCTTGCCACAAATCATCTTCGGGTGAAGGGGATTCAAGGTCACACCCTATTTGAAGGGAGATAATTAAAAAATAGCAAAAATATTATGGCATCATAACTCTCATAAACCACTGAGCCAGAAAAGTCTATACTTAGGTGAATGCTTCCTTATATAAGTAGTATTAAAGGTCATATGAAACAGTTCTTAACACTAGGAGTTTACACTTTAAACGTAAAGACTGGTATGAAAGAAAGTCAAATTACGTTTAGTAAAAAAAAATTGCCTTTGCTTAACTGAAAAATGAAGACCTAAACTTGTCCACTTGATAAATTTGTTACCCGCTTATCGTTCTTGATTTCGTGTTTTTATGACGTCACAAAGACCCATTGATGTAAATAACGCATTAGATCTAGTGTGATTTTACCCTATTTTATTGAGTTAATTTTAGTCATTTTTGTGGGTATAAATGTGATTATGTTTTCAGATGAGCTATCTGATTCTAAAACACAGTTTACTCTATTTGAACTAATCGTTAATTAGACACAGCAACTGAAAATGAGAGCTTTTCATCGTAGGATGACCCTGATGAATACCCCGTAGTTCTAAATCAAGATTTTTCTCCTCCAACTATGATTAATTATTTTAAATTAATACTTCAGAAACAAAAGTCTTCTTATTTCTGTTTGATACGTATATGATACATGATGTTTTTTTTCCATTCCCAGTGAAATCGTATAATTAACAACAAAAAACAGTGTAATTAATTAATATTGACCTGAAGCTTCTTACGACAAAAAATTTAATGGGCATGCAAAATCTGTAAAATAAAGTTGTGTCATATATTGAGAGGGAAAAATATGTAGCTCAAGAGTACCCCCCCTTTTTTCCCCAAATAAACACGGGGATGATAATTAAAGTGGATCAATGAAAAATCGGCGTATTTGAATGCGCACTTTCTGCAATCTGAAACACGAGGACTAATGTAAAAACAATATAGAAATAGGGGTTTATGACGACATCATCGTAATTTTGCTGTCACAAGAAGCACGATTTTATTAAAAAAAAAAAAAAAGGCTCGAAACTTTCCGGCATTACGAGAGTGTACGTGTATATATACATGTACTGTAATGTTACGGTGCTGATACTTCTTACAGTTTGGCTGAGCAATTGCAGATTGAAAATACTCATACACTTCGTGCATAAATTGATCAGTTAAAAAAATCCATACCCCCATTATTTGCAAGACTGGATCTGAACAATTTTCAAAATTAATATTTTGACAGTTCATTTTTTTTTTTAAATCAGGCTAATCTGTGTTAAAATAAAATGATACAAATTTGAACAATTCGGTCTGTAAAAAAGTGGATAGAATTTCGTTTAATGTCTGACTTTTTAAAATTATTACGATAATATAGTTACAGTGTTACATGTACACTGTATATGTACCAACTTTTTGGTAGGAAAAAAATACGGAGAGAGAGAGAGAGTCATCGAGACAGGGAAAACCAGAGAGAGAAGAGGAAAAGTGATTAAGAAAGGAGGAAAGCGAGAAAGCGATGGAATCATTTCATTTCCCATAAATAAATGAAATCATTTATATGCAGGTTTAGTTTCAATTTTACACACCGCGGTCAATCGAATTCAGCTAGGCGCGTACTACCGAGTACATAGATAGCATCGTCTAATCATGGCTTAAAAATTTTAATCAGAAAACAAATCATCAATATTCTTATGTAAGAAATTTATTCAATTGTAAATTATTTGACAGCGTCTATATACAGTTACTCGAGTACAGATCCCCGCTCTTTGTCGTATCGTTTCTGTCGATTGAATTTAAGTGTCGAAGAAAGACAATAAATTACACAGACAAAACATACTAAAATCTTGCAAATATGCAATAGGATGTGAAAAGACACATACTATCTTGTTTGAACATCGTATATTTATGCGACGTTTTAGCCCAGATAATGATATTTCTTAAAAATTATGCTGCAAAAGTGTTAGTACTGAATGTAGTGACTGGGTCTTACCGACGTCATAAGCAAGGGAGATAAGCCGCACTAGTTGAAGTTCATTTCTGCAGTCAAGTAATTTTGATCGACTCTGCTGCCACTAACTTGCATAAAAAATCCAAAATGTAATTTCAGGCTTATTAAAGTAGCTCAGATGAACTCATTTCCGTATACAACCAAAAATGCTCTGGACATTGTTTCATATGACCTTTAAAGGTTGTTCAAATCATGGTCCCTGGGGGTAGGAGAAGCCCACAAAAGGGGGTGAAAGTTGCATGTAGAAATATATAGGAAATATCTTTAAAAATTGTACTCTCAAGAGCAGCAGTGTTTCGGTTGTTCAAGTCATGTCTCTCAGGGGTGGGAGGGGGGCATGATAGGGGATTAAATTTTTACATAGGAATAAATAAGGGCATTTTTTTATTTTGGAAATCAGGAAAAAATTCTAGCAATTCTACCACACTAAATCATATAAATATACAAACATTACCTAGTTGTGTGGATTCAAGTTTATTCCTGTGATTGAGTCAGGGAAATGATATAGCTAAACCACTGGGGATCATATTTTACACAATGCATGGATATAGAAAAAGGATCTTTCAAAAATCCCCTCCTCCAGAAGAGCAAGACCATGTTTATTCAGGATACAGGTTTAGTTATGTCATGACCCTTTGAGGATAGAGTGGGACCGCAATACATTTTCTTGATGCAGAGTTTTTAGCTCACCTGAGCTGAAAGCTCAAGTGAGCTTTTCTGATCACATTTTGTCCGGCGTCCGTCTGTCTGTCCGTCTGTCTGTCTGTCTGTAAACTTTTCACATTTTCGACTTCTTCTCAAGAACCACTGGGCCAATTTCAACCAAACTTGCCACAAAGTATCCTTGGGTAAAGGGGATTCAAGTTTGTTCAAATGAAGGGCCACGCCCTCTTTCAAGGGGAGATAATTAGGAATTACTGAAAAAATAATGGCATCATTTAAAAATCTTCTTCTCAAGAACCATAGGGCCAGGAAAGATGAAACTCATGTGGAAGCATCCTTAGGTAGTGTACATTCAAGTTTGTTCAAATCATGACCCCCGGGGGTAGGGCGGGGCTGCAATGGAGGATCAAAGTTTTACATAGAAATATATAGGAAAAATCTTTAAAAATCTTCTTCTCAAGAACAGCAAAGCCATGATGAGTCATATTTATATGGAAGCATCCTCAGGTAGTGTAGATTCAAGTTTGTTCAAATCATGACCCCTGGGGGTAGGGTGGGGCCACAATGGAGGATCAAAGTTTTACATAGAAATATATAGGAAAAATCTTTAAAAATCTTCTTCTCAAGAACAGCAAAGCTATGATTGGTCATATTTATATGGAAGCATCCTCAGGTAGTGTAGATTCAAATTTGTTCAAATCATGACCCCCGGGGATAGGGCGGGGCTGCAATGGAGGATCAAAGTTTTACATAGAAATATATAGGAAAAATCTCTAAAAATCTTCTTCTCAAGAACAGCAAAGCCATGATTGGTCATATTTATATGGAAGCATCCTCAGATAGTGTAGATTCAAGTTTGTTCAAATCATGACCCCTGGGGGTAGGGCGGGGCTGCAATGGAGGATCAAAGTTTTACATAGAAATATATAGGAAAAATCTTTAAAAATCTTCTTCTCAAGAACAGCAAAGCCATGATAAGTCATATTTATTTGGAAGCATCCTCAGGTAGTGTAGATTCAAGTTTGTTCAAATCATGACCCCCGGGGGTAGGGCGGGGCCACAATGGAGGATCAAAGTTTTACATAGAAATATATAGGAAAAATCTTTAAAAATCTTCTTCTCAAGAACAGGAAAGCCATGATGAGTCATATTTATATGGAAGCATCCTCAGGTAGTG